GCTGTTGTTACAATACAAAATTAATATTAAGTACCTTATCTATATACATTACAGGTATATTATGGAATTTGAAATTAGTTTGTGTGTGTGTGATAGAGACATTTTCAGAAATCACACAAAATTGGCAAATTTAATACTGGGTCCTGCCGGTCTGAGGTCCTACCTAGTTTTGTAAAATAATGTTAGCCATTTTTCAGCTGTAATAAGTATCTAATTTTGAGAACGAAAAATCTTTTTGTCGATAGATATTTTCGAAAGGATGTTTCTAAAACATTTCAGGACAATCATCCTAGAGATGTTACATTACAAACATCGCAGCGATGTACCATTTATGTCGGAAACATAAGGACCTTAATGGTACATAAATAGGATGTTTCTGGGAGATCGGTGTTATTAGGGAATTTTCGCCATTTAACATAATGAGTGCGACAAAAACAGGTATCCCCTCCGCAGCAGCCGCACTATGCTTCACGTTCGTCCTTATGTGTTAGCATTCCAGTTTTTGGTTATAGTTCATTGGTACTGATTTACTGAAAAAATGACGTATGGCGTCACCAATACGTCACTAATTTATTACTGTGCTTGCTGTGTCTGGGAAGCTACTGTAATCCAGTAAAAGTGGTGGGGTGTCAATTGTTTTGTTTAGAGGAGAGGAAATTATGCAACAATTATAACTTTAACATTGAATGTTGTATTTTTTTGCACAAGGATAAAAACATTATAATTTATTAGGTGTTATTTGTTATTTTCAATATTTAAGTTAAATGTTATTCGATTTCACATTAGTTGGTTTATTTCTTTTATTAAATATTGATATTATAACAACAAAACAAATAGCTATCACTTTATCTTGTGTTTTATTTCATATTCATACTGATTTGATAGTAGAGTCAAAGAGTGCTAGTAGAGTAGGCAACTTACTTAAACTTAATTTAAATTAATTATAGAGCCATAAAAGTAGACAGTTAAATAATAATTCTATTATTTGATATAGCAAATAAAAGTTAAGAAGGCAAATATCACTTTTTTGGCTATTTGCACAGCTATAACTTTTATTCATTTCTACAAGAGTCACATTCAAAGCTCCAGACTAAAATATCCCTTAAGTTATAGCAGTTTTATCTTGTGATTTATTCCATATATTGCTTGTTAAGCTACATTCAGTAGGTAACTTAATTTAAATTGATTGAGCTATACTGGATATTTCTGGATAATGGGATCAAACTTCTAGGAGAAAGATACCCATTAAAATAAATTAAAAATTAATTAAAGGGGGTGTGCGCCAGAAAAAAAATCTAAGAATAACAGTGAAATCCGCACCCCTCTATGACAAATAATACCGCAGATATGGCTCTATGAAGGTACCGCATCTCACCCTATGACGTCACGAAAGCTCAAGCGACGCACGAGAAAGGGGATTTCATTAAATTTACATAATGTTTTTCCTGTGTTACCTGCAATAATCCAAACAAAAACCACTCACGCGTGCCGGGAACAATCAAATTAACAATGCAGAGCGCCGCTGGACGAAGTTTTCGTGACGTCACGAGAGCGTCGTCCACACTTTAAAGCGGTATATCTCAGCGATGGTTTATCGTAGAATAACGAGGTTTGAACAGTTATTCTTAGATTTTTTTACACTAAAACTTTAATTTTTGGCGCACACCCCCTTTAATAATTAGAAACATCAGCTGCTTTCGGGTGCCACCCTTTGAGCCCTCCCGAGTTACTCCGAAGTACCTACTCCGACTACAGTTTGACGCGTTCGCAAAACACATGGAGTAACGGGAGTGTTCAGAGCTTCGCTTCGCACTATGGTTATCTAAACGCTCTGAGGGGCTTTATTTGAAATTGATGCAACTTTGCGTACGCGCAAATATGACGCGAATGACGTCAGTTGCGATTGAAAAAGTGCATGTCAAATAAGCTGTGCACCAATTATCAATCACGAATGACGTAATTGGCGTGTACGCAAAGATGCATCTTTTAAATAAAGCACCCCTGCACCCGAAAGCGGCTATGGGTACGCATATGCTTAGTTTTTGAGATAAGGGCTGTTAAAAGTTTGAAAAAAAAAAGTTTTTCACTGAGGTTTATTAGCTGAAAAATCCCTTTCCAGATTTTCTTTAAACTTGGAAGGTTTGTTTGTAATAACAAAACAAAAGGTATCTTTGGTTATTTATTCCAGTGACCTTCAGAGGCCAGGGCAACTACGTTAATAAAAGCATTGTATTACTATAATAATTTACAGTAATAATAACCAACTATTAAATTATTTATGGAGAAAGCTTGAAAAAGAAAAACAAAAAATATAAAATCATCATGTTGTTAGGTTAGGTCCGCTATGTCGCCGGTCAAATGTCAATAATTACTGGAATTCGTTCCAAAATCAACCAGTAATACAGCTGCTGGTTGAAAAAGAAACGAGAAATACAGTAAAAATACAGTGGCTAAATAAACCTTTACATACAGTGGCGACAATAGAGGTCCCGCCGCCATTTTGTTCCCAACCACATGTTACTTTTAAATATGAATTTATAGGTTTTAAATGGACATCTTTCATAAAAAATTGAAATCGACGTATTTGATGACTATTATTAGGTCCATCAAATACGTTGTTTCCATGTTTTATGATGGATGTTCACCCAAATCCCATATATTCATATTTGAAATAAGCAATAGATGGGAACAAGATGGCCGCGTTCTCAATATAAATATATGGGATTTTAGAACCAATCAAAAATAAGACAGCAATTGTCGCCACTGTGGGTAATAGAGTCACTGTAAGTAAAAACAGCACAGTAGAAATTCAGTACTGCACAGTAATTTACAGTGGACTAAATAATTTTATTCAGATACAAATAAAATAATAGTATTTCACATGTTTAGCTAGGTGAAACAGTTTTTACTGGCTTTGGCAGGTTTTGATTAATTTTTTTATAAACACATTATAATTTTCGTAAATTCTGTTCTTTTCATTTATTCCAGCATTTTACTATCCGAAATTTTCGACATTTATTGTTGGTGTGCTACTCTATATGTTTATCCCTTTTTCATTTAAATCCGTGACCAAAATTTGCATATTGTTGTCAACAGAATGGTAATAATTTTACTATTTAGAATGCGTATTTTGCAACCAAAAATGCTTGAACTTCTACTCCAATCTATTATTGTTATGAACATAGCTTCATTTCACTGAAAAGTGAACAGGAATTAGTGAAGGTCTGTAAATGACATTTTATTTAAACGCCCCTCTTAAAATACGCATAAAAACATATTCAAAATAGACTGGCTTGGCGTGCCGCGCCATATTGAATTTTCCTTTTTGACAGGATTGAATTGTCTAATTAGGCAATTCAAACCACGTGACATTCAAGATGGCGTGGCGGCCAGACATGGGCCAAAAAACACAAAAAAATATCTAGTTTCTGCCCGAATTAATAGTCAACAAATATTTTATTAAATAATGAAAATCAAAGTTGTAAGCAAAACTGTATGCAAAATAATTTAAATTACGCATAAAAACATATTCAAAACAAACTTGCTTGGCCGCCACGCCACATTGAATTTTCCTTTTTGACAGATGGATTGAATTAGGCAATCTGAATCACGTGATTTTTTAATGGCCGTTCGGGTCAAATATTGCGGTGACAGGGGTGACAAGCCGGTGACGTTCATAAGGAGAGCATTTGTGCACATTTGTGTTCTGGGGTGCGATTTTCGAAAACATTCGAGTACATTTCGTACACGAAATTTGACTGCTCCCCATTTAATTTACATTGCTGTCAGTCAAATTTTCTTTTTTTTTTCTACGTATTTTTTATTGGTTTTGGCCATTGTTGTTTTCATAGTGAATTTTATAGTCTTTAGTAATTCTACGTATTTTTTAGTGTTCTGGCTCTTGTTGCTTTCAAAGTGAATTTTATAGTGTTTCTACGTAGGTATTTTTTAATTTATAAATAAATTCTGAGATGGGGAGTGAATATCTTAAGGTATTATTATTAAGGGAAAATCGAGCCTCTGTCAGATCCTTTCTTTGTTTCTTTTAATTAGGCAATCCAACGACCTGTCCAAATGGCGTCTGGTTCGCAAACAATAAACAAAAAACATATGTTTTTTGTTTTGGCAGGATTAAGCCTAGTACCCATAACAGCGAAATTCGTTCTTTTTTGACATTGCTTCGACAATTTGACGTTTTATGCGTGAATCAAACGTCAAATTGTTGAAGCAATGTCAAAAAAAGAGCGAATTTCGCGATTATGAGTACAAGGCTTTATCAATACACGGGGCGAGTACTCAAATCTGACACTTTTTTGACAGCGTTGACATGTAACAACCCGTATTCTAACCTCATAAAAATTTCAAAATGCCGGTTGGTTGGCAAACTTCACGTGGTTTGGATTCCCTAATTGCAGCAATCCATAAAGCCCTGCGTTATTTTGATAATTTATATTTGTAGATCAAAAGCCAATGATTTAAAATAGCAGGAACTGAATAAAATTCACATTATTCCTGTTAACTCGACTCCCACACCCAATAACGATGCATATCGGTGGCATTTTAATTGACCTTTTGTTTAGACGCCATATTGCGGTGCGCGAACATAGCTGCCAAAAGAAGAAAACAAAAATTGTTAGCGGGCTGCCAACATCAAAAACCCAGAAGTCATTTATTTTAATGTGTCAAAAAAAATGAATGTGTCACATGAACTAATCTACGACAACCCTTTACTCCAAGTTGTGACGTATTCGATAACAAAAGTATGAACCCTCGAGAAACGAACCTTAGATATTTTATTATTTCTATTCTGCCCAATACAAGCTAAAATTGATGGCTTTTCATTTCAAAAACATTCGTAATAGGCGGCAAATTTGAAGTTTAGATATAATTTATTCAGTAACTTTTGTTTTTAATGTTGACAGTACGCTAGTAATTTTTTTTTTCTACTTTTGGCAACCATGTTCGCGCACAGCAATATGGCGTCCAAACAAAAGGTCAATTAACACAATACCTAAACACACAAAAAAACACAGTGCTTGACCGAATGCTTGACCCGAACTTCCATATTGAATTTCGTTTTGACAGGTCAGTAGATTGCCTAATTGCCTAATAAGAAACTGAGAAGAAGAAGAATATAACAACATAACCACACTTTTATGTTTATTGTTTGTTTACATGGCTGCTGAGATTGATTATGTACAAAATCACAATGAAAACTTCTTATTATCACGAAATTTCCTCGATGATGTACGGATATGGCGACAGTCACGAACCAAATCCGGACACTGTCCGACTCGTAGAAAATATAGTCTCAAAACAACTCAGAATGATTATAAACGAAGCCTTAAAATACTGGGACAATGAAACACTTAAAGGCCAGGATTTGGTGTTTTTGCTCAGACACAACAAATACAAGATGCAACGTTTCATTAGGTATATCGAAAAAAAAGAAGCAACCAAAAAATCAGTGGCACAAAGCAACTCTGAAATACCCATAGTAGAAGTGGAACCAGAAAAATCCAAAAACAATCTGATACAATTTATCGAAAAAATAGACGAAACTGGTGAATTTATGGACTTATCTGAAGTAGACGAGGTAAAACTAGAAAGACAAATCAGGGCTGACAGAACGTCTCAAGACATTGACGAAAAAAAATACTTGGAATTCCAAAAAGCAAGATGCGCTTCTTTCAAATCAATTTCGCAAGGTATCAAACAATGGATCGATCCCCAAGATCAACTAACATTCGAACCTGACGCTTTAGAAGTTTTAGCTTATTTCGCTAATCAAACTGTAGCTGAAATTGTTGATTTGGCTTTGTTAGTAAAAGAAGATGCTAAATCGGGTACTGACCCCCTTGCTCATTTACCTGGGTCTTACTACACAGCCACAATGTTTAATGGAGCTTACAGATTCGACAGTGGAAAACCAGATTATACTAGAGTTCGCAGTGGCCAACCTCCAATTAGCGTTAACGAAATCAAAGAAGTAATGAGAAGGATTTATAGTCCTCAGGCTGGAAAATTGAATTTTGGTGGAAAAGTGCCAGATACACATTATATTTTGGCTTTGTAATAAATAGAATTTGTGTTTTATTAATTCCTCCTTGAAATTCCAATTTAGCTAATGCATTATAGGGTATATAGGATACTATAATAAGACTTCAGTGTTGGGTAGGGGATGTTTTCTTTGACCCAGCAATGTTTTAGCGTTCTGGTACGCTACTGATACCAATTTAAATTAAACCTGATGATAGCCGCATTATACTATACATGAAGTTATTGGATTTTCGCACAATACTGACCAAGCCCAAAAAATGGGTTGTTTTTTTAAGAGGGTCTGATACTGCAGGTTTTAAATTTGAAAGGGTGCGGAACAGGTCAAGGCCAATATTAACATGATAATATTTTCTCATTTTTATAATTTCTGAGAAAAGCTTTAGGTATGGTATAGGGACGTATCAAAATTTAATTTTTATAAAAATTGACGATTTTTGAAAGCTCATATGTTGATGAATGATGGAAAGGCTGATATGTTGGAGATGCAAAGTGTTGTATTCGAGTTCTGCTCCAAAAGTAGTTCCAAAGTTTAAAAACACGTTTTGGACAGCAAGATCTGTTGAATTCTACGTGAGAGTTGGTTTGATCAGTGGTTGGTTCTAGCTAATTCTTGATAGAGTCGTGTCGTCTTGGAACTCTAAACTCATCCGAGCTTGGCAGAGAACTTCTAGTTATGCTGATGTGATGTACATAGGGTTGCCAACTTTGTTTTGTAATTTTTCTGGACAAGGGTAATAAAATATCAGGACATACGGTATAAATTCTGGACATTTTTATTATTGCAGAGAAAAATACCATACTACATAACCAAGTACATAACATACTGATTAACTAAAAATAGCTATTTATGTACCAAGGGGATTATGTAGATTATAATGCCCGAAGGCGAAACTAGCCCGAGGGCCTATGGCCCGAGGGATATATTTCGCCTGAAGGGCATTATAATCTTGAAATCCCCGTGGTGCATACAATGCTTTATTTTCTACTCAACACAATGTTTTTTCATCAATTTGTTATTAACAAAATCAGTTAAACTTGTGTGACAGAATATTGTTTTGTATTTTGACATGTACCTGTACCTGTGACCTGTACCTGTACCTGCGACCTGCACATCATAGAAACGAAATACATTAATATATCTCTAAACATCTCATAAGGCAAGGCAACGGTGGTGGTCCTGTGGGTTAACGCGCTGGACTACATGGGAAACGTTGATGGTAGACCGGGTTCGAATCCTGGCTAGACCGAAAATTATTTTCGGTCAGACATTTAGTGGCTGCCTAGGGTAAAGTGCAAATTAATAGAACAACAACAACAAAAACACCTTAAGGTATTATAAGCGGGCGTTATAGATCATAACGCCCGCAAAAGCGGGCGTTATGGATCAGGTTGTTATAGGTGTGTTAACGTATTTCGTTTCCTAGGTATTATGGATCTATAATAGTAAAGTAGAAAATAAAAAACTTTCCAACAAGAATTTTTTGGGTAAATAGGTACGAAGGCGTAGAAGGTACATTTATTAAATTTTTATTTGCTGGTAGTGATGCGCAATTAATTCCGTGTTAACTAACTCGGAATTATTCCTCTCCTATTTAATTCCGTGTTAACTAACTCGGAATTAATCCTCTCCTATTTAATTCCGTATTAACTAACTCGGAATCAATTTCCTCTTAGTTAATTTCGTGTTAAGTAACAGGGAATTAATCTGCTCTTTTTTAATTTCGTGTTAGGTAACAAGGAATTAATCCCCTCTTATTAAATTCCGCCTTATTTAATTCCGAGTTAATTAACACGGAATTAAATAAGAGCAGATTAATTCCCAGTTACTTAACACGAAATTAACTAAGAGGAAATTGATTCCGAGTTAGTTAATATATACGGAATTAAATAGGAGGGGATTAATTCCGAGTTAATTAACACGGAATTAAATTGGAGGGGAATAATTCCGAGTTAGATAACACAGAATTAATTATGCATCTTTACCAGCAAATAAAAATTTAATAAATGTCCCTTCTACGCCTTCGTAAATAGGTAGGAACTAATAATTTAAAATTTTATTTCAAAAATACGCAAATTAACAAATTATTTAAAGAATATAAAAAGTTAAGTACTTACACACTGAGAAAATGTTTTCATTGTCATAGCTAATTTTTCTGCTGCCGCGCAGTAGCCAAAAATTTTGGCTACATAGGGGACATCCAAGAACTTTACTACCGCCGAAAAGATAACTTTACTGGCACCGTTTATTTGCGGTAGCAAAGTGACTTTATAAAGAATTTACTCACAGTTTCTACAAGGTCACTTTGCTGTCATAGAAAAGCTACTTTGCTGTCGTAGGAAAGTAACTATGCTGTCCTAGAAAAGAGGTTATATATACCCTCAAAAATATCCTTTTTTGCTATTGAAAAGTAGATTGCTAAGACAGAAAAGATATTTGTTGTTGTTATTAGAAATGCTTCCAGAAGTAGGAAAGCGTTTGTCTCAGAACAAAAAATTTCTTGCCAGAATCAGCCAAGTGTTTTATTAGCCATGGGGAGTTATTTGTCTCACCAATAGCAAAAATATTTTGCTGGAAATCTTTGGAAATATGTAGTAGCGCGTCCATCATAACAAAACCAGGAGATAAACAAACTCTATTTAAACCCCTAAACTTTCATTACCTGATCTGAAATAATGTCAATTAATGAAAAGTTTGGCGCTAGAGTTGTTTCTGCTAGTTTTGATGGATGCGTTGGCACCATTTCCAAAAAGATTCCCAGCGACCGACACTCGACTTGACTCGATAGCATCCACGATCCACACCGTACGGCGTTAGCTACTAAACTAAAATGGAAGAAAATGAACACGAAACATATTTTATCGGTTATTTTTGGACCCGAAGAAATCACGGAAATGTCCGAACGGTATTTTTAGTTAAGTTATTTGGCTAGGGTAGCAAAAAACATTACTGTAACAATAACAAAAATTACAGGATTTTTTTTTGCTGCAACAGTAAAGTATCTATCTATCTTAGAAAAGTTCTCTTTCGGAGAAGCAGAAATATTTTCATAAAATTTTAATTTTGCTATAACAGTAAAGTTTGGTTTTGGAATAAGAAATATCTTTGCAGTTTCAATAAAGTAGTTTCAGCAAAGTGGTCTTTTCTGTAGAAGCAAAATAACATTGCTACCTCTAAAACATTTTCCACTGTAACAGCTAAAAAAAAACCAGCAAAGAATTTTCTCCTGGGACTTTTCTCAGTGCAGGTACTTGTAGATACAGTGGCTAAATAAACCTTTACATACAGTGGCGACAATAGAGGTCCCGCCGCCATTTTGTTCTCAACCTCTCGTTACTTTTAAATATTAATAGGGTAAATAAGCCAGTAGTCGGCCAGTTAACACCATCTTCTAATAATGATAAATAAAAAAAATATTATTCAAGAATTTAACCTAACGTTATTGTGCCATAGGTATTGTTAGGTTATGTCCTTATGGTCTCCAAAACTCAAAAACAGTATATACATAAAAATTAGAAATAAATAAATAATGGAAATATACAATTTGCCCAGTACTCGGCCGTCAAAAATCCAATGTCGGTCAATCGCCAACCAGTAGCCGGCCGATATATTTTATTGCAACGCCAAACTTTTTTTATCTGTTTTAATGATAAATTTCACCAGAAATTCAGGAAATTGGGAAAATTAAACACAGAATTTATTTATTACAAAATTATTTATGCACCTTATATAGGGATTAATGGCCGTTTGCACCGACTATTTTGAGGAAGCCTTAGCGATAAGTATTCCTTAAAGCCACATTTCTCCATGTAAAAATGTCATTTTAAGGAATACTTATCGCTAAGGCTTCCTTAAAATGGTCAGTGCAAACGGCCATGAAAGTACCCCCTGTAGTAATGTAAAAGTAATCCTTGTTTTAAGGGAGTAAAGTGGGTCTTTAATCCCAGGGATTAAATTTTTACTTTATTTCCTGGGGATTGAATGAAACAGGGAATGAAAGGGTACTTTTAATCCCTCTAAGGGCCAAATTATGGACCGACAGGTAACGTTATTGGCAAATTTATCCTGCTAGTAAAGCTAAAAATTGCATGGAATTTACAGTTTTACCAGTAGGTTAAATTTGACAGAGACGTTACCAGTCGGTCCATAATTTGGCTCTTAAGTACATAAAATAGTCTATACATCTCAGGACTAAAGTGTCTTTTTGATGTTAAGTCAGCTAAATTGTTTGTCTCTTTTTTTTTCTATTTTTGTAGCTTTTGTTGCGTCTTTGGTTGCTTTGGCTTTTTTCTATTTTCCTTGTTTTCATCTTTTTTTCCGGTTTTGTTTTCACTAACTTTCGTTGCGTCTTTGATTGCTTTGACTTCGTTTCTATTTTCTTTGGTTTCTTCTTTTTCTCCAGTTTCGTTTTTATTATCTTCCTTTGATGCATCTTCGATTTCTTTTACTTTGTTTCCATTTTTCTTGATTTCATCTTTTATTCCGGTTTCGTTTTCATTATCTTTCGTTGCGTCTTTATTTTCTTTGGCTCCGTTTCAATTTTCCTTGGTTTCGTCTTTTTCTTCAGTTTCGTTTCTATTATCTTTCATTGCTTTATATATCTTTGATTGCTTTTGCTTCGTCTTCGTCTCTATTTTAGACAAAAGATCAACACTATAGTGTTGATCTTTTGTCTAAAATAAGTATATCTGTTAAGGTAGGTATACCAATATCAATGAGAAAATAATATGGCCGAGCTCTGGTTGTAGTAATCTCAAAGTCGGCCTGTAATAAAATCATTTTAGTTAAAGGCGGCCGACTATCGGATTTTGGTGAAAATATTGTATATGTTTAGATTTTATTAAATTTCCAAAAGTAGTCTTTAATAAAATAGAACAGCCAGTTTCATAATCAGACTTTAAAATGTACTTTAACTAATAATCGATACTTTAGCCACTGCTAAAAATTGACAGAATAGCAAAATTCCACAATTTTTAAGGTTAGTTTTATGTTTTTCACTATTTTTTTTTAGTGGCGGCAAGTGGTAATCAAAGTGATCAAAG